GCTCAGTGGTGGGCAAGTGGCGACGCACAGCAAGACGTGCAGCAGCATCGCGGGTGGCCCACTGAGAGCAAACAGTCGGGTCACCATCAGCAGCAGGAGCAGGAGAGGCGCCAGAGGTGAGGTCAAAGAGAGAAAGACCGTCCGCCCTATCGCACTGTAAAAACAACTGCAGGTCGTCGACCCAGACCTCAAAGTCAATGGCTCTGCCCTCAGCGTCAAAAGCTAGGACACTGGGGGTAGCCATGACGACAGACTAGCAGTGCAAGCAGTGGGGAAGGGCACGCAGTAGCAGTAGGGCAGCGCTGTGCTCACCAGACAGGGCAGGTCGGGCGGCCCGATAGCAGGGCGACTCGACGGCTGCAGGACGGCTAGGCGGCTCCTGGGCGGCTCGGCTGCTCCCGGGCGGCTCGGCTGCTGCTGGGCGGCTCGGCGGCTCCGGGCGGCTCGGATGCTGCTGGGCGGCTCGGCTGCTGCTGGGCGGCTCGGCTGCTGCTGGGCGGCTCGGCTGATGCTGGGCGGCTCGGCTGCTGCTGGGCGGCTCGGCTGCTGCTGGGCGGCGCGGCTGAGGCCAGGCGGCTCGGCTGGTGCTGGGCCGCAGGTAGAGCGGCGGTAGGGCCGCGTAGGTGAGGGCGGCAGGGGCCGCGAAGGTAAGGGCGGCGGGGCCGCTCAGGTAAGGGCGGCGGGGCCGCGTAGATTGGGGCGGCTGGGCCGCGAAGGTGAGGCAGCAGGGGGCCGCGTAGGTAAGGGCGGTGGGGCCGCTCAGGTGAGGGCGGCGAGGCCGCGTTGCTGAGGCGGCGGGGCCGCGACGTAGGGGCGGCTGGGCCGCGTAGGTGAGGGCGGCGTGGGGCCGCGTAGGTAAAGGGCGGCGGGGCCGCTCAGGTAAAGGGCGGCGGGGCCGCTCAGGTAAGGGCGGCGGGGTCGCAACGGTAAGGGCGGCGGGGGCCGCGTTGCTGAGGCGGCGGGGCCGCGTAGGTGAAGGGCGGCGGGGCCGCGTAGGTGAAGGGCGGCGGGGCCGCGTGGAAAGGGCGGCAGGGCCGCTAGAAAGGGGCGGCGGGGCCGCGATCAAGGGGCGGCGGGGCCGCGATCAAGGAGGCGGCGGGGCCGCGATGAAGGGGCGGCGGGCCGCGATCAAAGGAGGCGGCGGGGCCGCGATCAAGGGAGGCGGCGGGGCCGCGATCAAGGGGCGGCGGGCCGCGAGGTAAGGGCGGCGGGGCCGCAAGAGTGAAGGGCGGCGTGGCCGCGATCGAAGGGTCAGCCGCTAGGGCGGCTCGGTGAGAGAGAAGCCCGAGGCGCGACTCGGAACGAGTGCGCTTCGGGCAGGAAAAAAAAAGGTGTGTGGTGGGCCCTAGGCGAAGTTCCCACAGGGGAACCTGCTCTATACCATGTGAAGTTGAAAGAACAAGAATGAAATGACTAAGGAAAGATTGGGTACAAATACAACCCTAGAAACCTGTACCCCATATGTGCTACCCCACTATAGCCTACAACAGCTATGTTATGTAAATCTGACAATAAGCGCATGTTTGTTTTTTATTTGAAAACCTTTCAAATATCAGAAACGAATTTCACATAATCAGGGAAATGAACTACAATTTCGATTTCCCACACTCTGAACTCACTTTTTGCGCGTCTAGTCAGCATGTGCTGTAATTCTGTCAGGGTGAGCTGGCAGGGAATCACTCTCTGCCAAGCTGCGCGAGAATCAGATTAGCGACCCTATATGTTTTCGACTCGATTACAATCGGCAGAACGAGATTTACAGTTTGGTGTAAAACAAATATATATTCTTTTTGCCATTTTATAAGCGCCGGCGCTTATAAAATTCCTCAATTATAAGCGCACCCCCTAAAAACAGTGTTTTTTTATAACCCCAGGGGCGCTTCTATCCGGGGGCTGACGGTACTAACCCTAATTGGGTTGTACCCTCTATGGGTTACCCTACTACAGCCTACACAAAAGCATAAGCTATAATGTTCTGACATAACGGAATACTCGATCCGCTGCTGCGCGTTCGCCTCTTGCACCCCGCTCGCGGCGAAGTAATTGTTGAGCATGAAGATCCACGTCCGCAAGCTCGCGTCGCGTTGACTTGGGTCGAACGACTCGGGTTTCTGCGGCTTGAGTGCGCTTCGACGTTCCGGCAGCGCTTCCGCGCCAGTCGACGTGTTGGGTGCAGGAAATGGTGCGGCATGACCATGAGAAATCGACGCGAATTCACGAAGCTGTTGCATTTCAGCTCGTACCTAACGATTTTCCAACGTCAACTGTTCGAGTTGGCGCATGAGTTGAGCAAGCGTGTTTCCCATGTCGTTGGGGAGAGCGTTCATGGTCTCGTCCATGTTGGCTCGACGACTCCAAGTCTGCAAGTCTACACCGCGGGACGATGACGTCGTAGTGTCGTCGTCGACGGTCGCTCGTTGGAAGTCGCTCCCCACGAAGGCTCGTGATACGGTACCAAGTGTTAGGCCCGCTGGCCTAAATCCGCTAAAGATTAGCGGGGTCGACTAAGTCGATGATAAATGCGGCGGAAGACTTTGGCGAAAGAGAGTGTTGGCGAAATAGGCGAAGAAGTAACTGAGTAATTAAAGAGTTGAATAAGAATTTATTGATATTGGTGGATGCAAGCAAGGATGATATAGCATGCAAGGTCGAATGTCGGAAAGTACTTCGTGGGACTAGAAAGTAGAAGCAAGAAAGGTAGAGTGCCACGTGGCACTAGGAAATCTGAACAGATATCGTAAAGATAAGGATGGGGTTGAGAGTAGTGTTCAAAGGGAACAGTAAACACCCCTCTAACACATGGATTGTAAGCATTCCATTCCAACAACCCTAATCCAGCAATTCCCTTTCGTTCTCGCTATAGCGCTTCGCGTTTGAAACAGGAATCGGCTAGTTATTGACGATGACAGGCCCAGATTCCAGCGCTGTCACTATCGCTCTGCACTCGCCGCGTTGCCACCTCTCGGGAATGCCAAGGCGGCTGGGAATGCTCACGTCATCACTCTCTGACCGTCTGCTCTTCTATGATACTAAAACCAGTCGTCCCACGCGCGGTGATTCTTTTCGTGACGCCAAGTCACCATCATTCGAAGTTGATTGAGCTGACGTCTTCGCACGGCGCTCGCCGCGTCGTCAGTTATTGGCAATCCCAAGGCGACTGGCCCGTGCAAGACAGCATCTGTAACACCTCGCTACCCACTGGGTCAAAACGAGGGTTGTATTTGAGGCGCAGCGGATGCTCTCATACCCTTACGTGTAAGCCCCACAGGCGTTACAGCATCACCCTCAGTTGGCGTCAACTCTTTCGTCTACTTAAATCTCAAAATCATTGGGAGATCTCATCAGGCGTAAATATCGAAATTTCCCGTCGCAACGATGGTGGCTCTAAGGACTCCGAGTCACCGCCTTTCCGGCGGGATCTTCGATGATTTCCTCTCAGAGAGTGGGAACTCCTATCCTGTCGTCGTCGCCCCTCGCCAATTCCGTTCATGAGAATTATACCATCGTAACTCCTGTTGCAAGACGGTGATTGACAATCCCGACTCTCTGTCCCACCGTCTCCGTGACAATGCCTTCATCTAGGGGCGCTTCAGGCGGTAATGCTGCTTCCAGCGCGCCGCCGCCGGCAGCTGCTCGAACAATTCTTGCGCAGCAGGGGGCGATCGTCGGCGTTCCTGGTGCGAGTCTCGCACACAAGGAGACGCTTGCCGGCGCGTTGGCAATCGGGAGCGCCGCAGTCGCGTGGTGGCGGCTGATAAATTTGTCTAGCTCGCTCTCCGCCCTTAAATCCGCGCGCGAAACGACTATCGCGGAATTGAGTCGCGCGAAGAAGCCTGCTGACGCCGTCAGAGCCGGCAGCAGAAGCAGAAGCGGCAGCTGCAATAGCAGTGCCGGACTAGGGTGGTTGCTTCACGCAGGCAGCAGCGGCAGCGGTTCCGGGTTGAAGAGGCTGCTTCACGCAAGTAGCAGCAGTAGCAGTGGTAGACGTTCAGCTGAGAACTCTCCAGGTTCAATTGTTGAGGCGCCCCATGAGTTGGTGGCAGTGAGAGGGGTCGTGCAGGCATCCGGGTCGGGGTACCATGGCTGGAGGAGGCTTGGCTTTGGTGGTGGTGGCTTCCATGTTCCAATTCTGCAGCGGTTCGGACTTGGGTGGAGGCTCGACCCCTTGTTGCTGCCGGAACACGGCTTGAAGCAGGCGTGTGCGATCGTGGAGAGGACGGAGACGGTGAGTGGGTGAGGGAGAGAGGAAAGGGAGAGCTGCTGGAGAGAGAGAGAGAGAGAGAGAGAGAGAGAGAGAGAGAGAGAGAGAGAGAGAGAGAGAGAGAGAGAGAGAGAGAGAGAGAGAGAGAGAGGATTAGCCTCTCCCCTTCTACCCTCTGCCCTCTGCCTTCTGCCTTCTGCTTTCTGCCCTCTGCCATGACTACTTAAGGCCACGGCGGCCCCTCCATCTCTCATTCTTTCAGTTAGTGCTGAAAATTTTGGCCTTTGCTCGTTCGTGAGAGCGAGAGAGAGAGAGAGAGAGGATTAGCCTCTCCCCTTCTACCCTCTGCCCTCTGCCTTCTGCCTTCTGCTTTCTGCCCTCTGCCATGACTACTTAAGGCCACGGCGGCCCCTCCATCTCTCATTCTTTCAGTTAGTGCTGAAAATTTTGGCCTTTGCTCGTTCGTGAGAGCGAGAGAGAGAGAGAGAGGATTAGCCTCTCCCCTTCTACCCTTTGCCCTCTGCCTTCTGCCTTCTGCTTTCTGCCCTCTGCCATGACTACTTAAGGTCACGGCGGCCCCTCCATCTCTCATTCTTTCAGTTAGTGCTGAAAATTTTGGCGCTTCGCGCCGACGGCCGAAGGCCGCCGGCGCTCGCGAGCGCGGCCTACGGCCGCGCGTTAGGGATGGCAAGGGGAAACAGCGAGCAGTAGCAGCTTAGGCAACCGATACAAACAAAGCGAGCATAGACACTTAGCAAGTAGAGGATGGAACGGGTCTACACGCGCAAGGGGGGAGCGCCTACATGCGGTCCGCCTCTACCGCAGCGAGCATTCCGCTCGTGTTCAACCACAACTGGCGGACCACAGACACGGTGGCGCCTACAACGTCAACAGGAGTACCAGGGCCTGCTACAAGCGTCCTCAGAGCCAGGGCCGAGTCAGCCAGCTGGCTGGCCGAGGTTGCTCCCGGCGAGGGCGCTACCTGCAGTGGCGTTACGAGCGCGAATAGCGCTGACGCCGCCGCATGACAATCTGCTCGCGGCTTCTGAGAGAACCTGCTCGGAGGGCTCACCGGCATGGAGTCAAATGACTCCTGGAGAATCTGCTCAAGACTCTGCAGGGACGCCGCCAGCCAGCATAAGCGGGCCAGGGTCGCCGTGGGAACTTCCTTCATCGGCGGAAGCAACGCAGACGCGCGGGCACGGTGAGTCGACACTCGGAGATCACGCGGAGCAGGAAGAGGACGCGGCGGAGCAAACTGAGCCCACGGCGGCTCGCCACCAGCACCCACGAAGCCCATCCCCACAACCAACGGCCGCTCTGAACGCGCCGGGGATCCAAAGGGATTGTGGGGCAGGAGCGCGGAGAGAGGGACGACGGGAGCAGCGAGAGGAGCTGATGGTGACGCCGACCCCGCACGCGAGCGACGAAGCTCTTTCTCCACGTCATCAAGCCTATCCAGAAGACGGCGCTCCATTGCGGACGGTGCTGGACCGGCTTTTTCCGCCGCGACTGTCACCCCCCCGTCGCCCACGATGCGCACGCCCACTTGCGCTCGAGCGCACAGGCGACTGCGGGCGAGATGGGCCCTGCTGACGCTGGCGACCAGGATAACGGTCCCCACGACGAGGGGAGTAGAGCCGTTGGCGTTTTGCAGGAGGGGGCGAATGCGGAGCTGGGGGCCGACGCCCAGACGTCTGGCGGGCAGGCGACCGCTGGCGAGATGAACGATGAGGAGGCGAACGATGACGATGCGAGCGGAGGTCACGGGATCGGCTCCGCGACGCCACGCGACGAGGTGAACGAGGAGACGGCGGTGAACGGGCCGCACCGTGACGATCATCGCGGCGGCTCTCCCGCTTATTGTCGCGAGCTGCCGATGAGCGACGACGGGGCGAACACTCCCGGTGCGCCACAGCCTCTGCGCCGGAGCGCAGGACGGACCCCGCGCGCAGGGGCTCCGGCGGCGACACGGACCTGCCCGCGCGCCGAGCCAGCTCGCGCTGCTGGTCCTCGAAGCGGCGGCGGATCTGATCAGCGGACGCCGGGGGAGCAACAGGTACGCTCGCGGCAGGGCGTGCAAGAGGAAGCGGACGGGGAGCGGGATCGCTCTCCGCGGTGCAGTCGCGGCCCAGAGCGCCGAGGAAATCCATCGGCGAGCGCTCAGGGCGCTCCACTGCCACAAGAGGAGCCGACGACGCCGATCTCCCAGGCGCAACAGGCGGCACCTGTGGCAGCCACTCCGAGGAGCGGACGGGGAAGCACGCGGGGGAGAGGCGGGCGTCGAGGAGCGCGCGGAGGACAGCGGAGTGCAGGCCAAGCGGCGAGGGGGAATCCGCGCCAACTACCGAGCCCAATCTGGCTGGGGGAGCCGGCGGAACGAGTCACGCGCCAGTCGTTTGCTAGACGCGGGGGGAGAGGGGGAACGACAGCGCAAGCAGTGAGAAACGGTGATACAAACGCAGACGGGAGCGGCGACGAATATGTACCGTCAGATCTGAGGCAACCCGACAACCCCGACTCACCTCTCGCGGAAGCGGGGGAGGACCAGGCGCAGCAGCAGGAGAACGGTTCTAGACGCCGACTGAACCGCTGACCCCAACCCCCTCCGGACCAAGCCCTGTCAGCGTCCCAGCTGGCATCGAGGGAGGATCTCTTTGAGATCGCGATGAGCTGGGACTCTTCAACCCTAACGTCAACCACCCACCTGCCTATCGTCCGCCGCCTCCCGCCGCAGATACTAAGCGACTACTCCACCTGTATGCTGGCCGCCCTATTACGGATCTCCAAACTGCCCAACTGCGCGGGAGCGTGGCGGGTCCTCATGTTCCTGCCACGTCTCACCTTACGACTTAGCAAGAGGTCCAGCTCTAAGTGGAAGGTGCTGCGAGAGCAGATGCACCTATTCAGATGTGGCCACTGGAACCAGCTCTACAGTGACTACGTGGGGTCCCTGCACCAAGCCGAGCCACCTCAGCACCGAAACGACCCCCTGGGAATCTCCTCACGTGTGGAAGGGTTGGTGAAACGGGGTAACCTGCGAAAAGCACTGGCAGCCCTCTCACCCTCGCCAGCGGCCCCTGCGACGATCGCAACATTGCAGCAGTTGGAATTAAAACATCCCCAACCCCAAGTTGAGCTGCCCGACTGGGTCCACACCTACACAACACCCACGCAATTTTCGTGCGCCGCGGAAAATTTCTCAGACGTCCTTGGGGATTGCCCCAGCGGGGTTGGGGCTGGTCCATCCGGGTCAACATTTGAACACTACCGCGACCCAGCCCTAAGCAACATCGAAGTGCTGAGGCACCTACACGAGGGATGAGCAATATGACGAACACCTGTTCGGTTCGCCTCGAACGTGTTCGAGGCGAACCGAACAATATTTTTTTTTGGCCTAAATTGTTCGGGGCGAACGTGTTCGGTGTTCGCCCGAACACGTTCGCCGTTCGCCCGGCTCAGCTGGCCGAGGCGCGACGAACACGAACGTGTTCGTGATCGACACGGGCCTTCGACGAACGCCAATGTGTTCGTCGACGAATAGGCCCGCGACCAATTTTTAGGGCGCGGGCCTTGGTGTTTGGGCTCAGATCAAGGCCTTTTGCCGTTGCTTAAGTGCGGATCAAGGCATTTCGCCGTTGCTTAAGCTCAGATCTAGCATTTCGCCGTTGCTTAAGCGTAGATCTAGCATTTCGCCGTTGCTTAAGCGTAGATCTAGCATTTCGCCATTGCTTAAGCGTAGATCTAGCATTTCGCTGTTGCTTAAGTGCGGATCAAGCATTTCGCCGTTGTTTAAGCTCAGATCTAGCATTTCGCCGTTGCTTAAGCTCAGATCTAGCATTTCGCCGTTGCTTAAGCGTAGATCTAGCATTTCGCCGTTGCTTAAGCGTAGATCTAGCATGGGCGGTTCTAGCAGGGAGGGACTGGCTTGCGGGGTGGGGGGAGGGAATGTGAAACATTTGGATTTCACTCTACTTGGATCTGAGAAGGTCCTTTAAGGCGAACGCGAACATGTTCTGGGCGAACGTGTTCGTGTTCGCCAAAACGTACGAAATGTTCGCCTCTCTTGGCGAACTTCGAACACCCTTTCTGGTGTAAAGTGTTCGGCGAACTGAACAGTGTTCGGTTCGCCGAACAGCCATGTTCGAGCCCAGGCGAACACGAACATGTTCGTGTTCGCCATTTGCTCATCCCTAACCTACACTCCGCCGTGACACATCTTCTCTCCACAAATCTTTCCACCGAGGTTGCAGCATTACTCTCGCCATCCCGCCTCATCGCCTTCGCTAAACCAGGGGGGGGGGTACGCCCTATCGCAATAAGGGAATCCCTACTCCGGTTGGCAGCAAAGGTGGCACTCTCGGAACTGCAAGGAGAAACAAGGCGATTTTTCTTACCCCAACAATTCGGTGTGGCAGTCCCAGGCGGAGCTGAGTTCGTTATACATGCCGTCAGAGACCTCACCACTTCACATCCCTCCAGCCTAGTCGTCCAACTCGACATTGAAAACGCTTTCAACTCCGTAGAGAGGAAAGCGTTCTTCAACGCACTCACCAACACCCCGCTAGCACCGCTCATACCTTTCACCCGCTCCTTCTATGCAACGCCTTCTCAGCTGCTCACCGACCCCCGCTTGAGCACGACGGCACTTACCAGCGGAAGGGGGGTGAGGCAGGGGGACCCCCTCGGACCCCTGCTGTTCGCAGCATCAATCCAGCAGCACCTTAGACGCACAGCAGCAGAGCACCCAGAAGTCACGATCCTAGCATACGCAGACGACATCACCATGATCGGACCGGCGACAGCAACGCTCGGCGCACTCAAGTTGCTGACGCCGCTGCTCGCCCAGGATGGCCTCACCTGTAACCTCAGTAAGTCGTCGGCGTGGTCCACGACGCCGCTTGAGGGTGACGAGCTCCCCGAGGGCCTATAACTCACCCACGAGGGGGTACGGGTGTTGGGAAGCCCCGTGGGGTCACAGCGCTTCTGCTCTGACCTGGTCCGCAGTACTCTGACAAACGCAGCGGCACCCCTGGGCTCCCTAGCATCCATCCACCCACAGCATGCCCTCCTGCTCCTGTCCCGCTGCATCAGCCGCAGAATCGGCTACTTGCTGCGCACCACCCCAGCGGATGTCCTTCCCCTCTCGGAATGGCACGCGTGGTGCGCCGAACTGCTCAACACCGCCCTGACTGCCGCCAGCATCCAACCACCCCGCCGCGAAGCCGAGTTCAATCTTCTCATCCGCCAAGCAACCCTCCCAGTGGCCCTAGGTGGACTGGGCCTCACGGATCCCACAACAGAAGCAGCACCAGCCTACCTGGCCTCAACGACAGAGGCACTACGCCTGCTCCGCTCACTCGACCTGCCAGCAACCGCGGCGCTAGGGAGCAACAGCAACGCCCTGCAGCCGTCTGCGGCACACTCGGTCACCATCCAAGACATGGAGGGACGACTGCCGCCGCTGGCGCTGCAATACCTCCGTGAGGAGCAAGAAACCCCGTCCCAAGACCAGCTGCAGCGGGCCCTCTCTCAGGAAGTGCACGCGGCAAAGGCCGACACCCTGACAGAGGAATCACGCTCAATCAGGTCAGCCCCCGAGATGGGCCACACGCTCCGCCTCGTCAGCCTGAGAGGCGAGGGAGCGGGAGCATGGCTGCAAGCCCTACCCCTGACCCCAGACCTCTGCTTCTCACCAGGGCAATTCCGAACAGCCCTGGCCTTCCGCATGGGCATCCGACAGAACGTACCTACCGTGTGCGAGTGTGGAGAGCTCGTGGCCGACTGCAGCCTACCCAACCACCTACTCCGCTGCAGCACAGGCCCGGACAGAACGCGCACACAAAATCAGCTGGCCTTTGCCGTGGCAAAAATGGCGAGGGAGACGCAGCTGGTGGTATACCTGGAGAATGCAATGTACTCACCACCGGATGACCCGAAGAAGGCCGATGTGATCGTGCGTGACCCAGACAGTGGAGAGACCTGGATCACAGACACGACTATCACCGACCCCATGCTACAGAACCGGGACCCCACAGCCCGCAAACCCCCAGGCTGGGCTGCGAGGGAGGCACAGAGGCGGAAGGAGAGGGACTACTACAGGCACACCGAACACGTGGTGTTCTGCGCCCTGGCCGTCGAGACATACGGGGCAAACGCGCCCCCCACGACAGCGTTCCTTCAGCTGCTGGCCACAGCAGCGGCTAGGAACAGGTTCAGGGCTAACCCCTTGGCCAAATCGGCCAAGAAGATGGCCTGCCACTTCAGCCAACGCTGGTCAGTGGCCCTCCAGCGCTCCCAAGCGAATGCCCTGCACACCAAGGCCAGGGCTGGGATCGAGGCAGCGCACCCCCAGATGGCAGCGGACCCCTGGCCACTGCACCTGGGGGACATCCTCCACACGCTGGAGGGCTAGAGGGTCACGCAGGGGGGGGGGGGGAGAAGAGGGGTGAGCTAAGGGGCTTAAGGGAAGGAGGTTATCATGGATTGCACTGCATGTTTTTGTACCCCTGCTGAATCAATACAAAGGACCGTTTGAGAGAGAGAGAAGAGAGAGAGAATAGGCAACTTCTCTCCATGGAAGATCTTTATGTTGAACGAGTTATCTTCTCTGCTCTCTGCTTCTCTTCTCCCTTGTCTCCCCATTTCCCACCTCCTCCTCATGCCGTCCCCGTCCTTCTCTCATCCGTCTTTTCTTTGCGTTTTTTCATCTTTGATAACCCCCCTCGCTCCAAGCTGCCGCTGCGTGCGTGTAGGAGTTTCCAACCCCTGTGCCTTGAACTCCCCCCTTTCGTTTCCCCCCTTTTGCTTACTCCCTTGCCCTGTTCCTCCGTCCCTCCCTTCTCCCCATGCCATTTCTCTCCTTGCTGCATGTTCACGCCCTTAACACAGATCCTGAATACAAACCTCCTCTACGGTTGGCTCACCAGACCAGATCGTTACAGCATCCTCTTTCAAAAATCCGTAAGTTCCAGATTCTCACTGCTGCTTTTTGCAGCACCTCGTCCCCACTGACTGTTTGTTGTTTACACCTTTCCTGAAGTTAGGGCTTCCCCACACCCTTATTCCGCCCCATTCCTCTCTTCCTGTCCACTCCTCTCAGCACCTCAGTCTTCTCCCCTCTCTCCCACTCTGCTTCCCTTCCCTCTCCTTGTCCTCTCCTCCCTCACCTCTCCACAGATCCCCTTCTCTCTAGCAGAAACCACCCACCAATCAGCGCCACGTGTCGAGGTCTCATTGGAGGGCGCTACACAGCCCTTGCCCCTGCACACCGTCTACAGCCACGTCCACAAGGCCCACCCCTCATGGGGCAACGCCGCCCTGCATGTGCTTACAGGGAAGGACCTTCTGGTGAGTGTACTCGTTAAACGCCTTGCACGTGCTTATAGAGAAGCAACTTCCAACAAATATACTCCATGCTTGTCCTTTGCCACCCGATCCGCATCTTGCAGAGTGCTGTCTTTAGCCTCTCTTCTCTGCCGCCCAAGTCTCACATGCTTCTGAAATGACAAACACCTGGAAGCACTTGTGAATTCTTGCACTGTATTGTTCCTGTGAAACCTGTGAATGAATGAGTAGCGGCTCCACACATAAGTGCACAAACAAGAGGGTTGTGTGACCGTCTCCTTTCTTCACCAACTTTGCACACATCACTCACGATCCCCTCCCACCAGCTGGGCCTGCGCACGGACGAGAGGGTGCTGCCAATCAATCACGACCTGACAGCTGTCGGCCACGTGAGATTCGGTTCCAACGGTCGACCCGCAATCTTCGCTTCCCCCAAACTCCCCTACTTCCTGTGAGTGCTCCCCTGGACCATAGGAACCCTTATACCCACCCACCCTACTCCCTCTGAGTGATGAGTCATCTCAATGATGCTCCCTTATTTCCTGTGCAAAACCTTGCCAACCACACTTGCTTCCTTCACATTTAATGAGTGGTGTGGTGTGTGGGTTGCACTGACGGGTTAAGACATGGATGGTGCAGAACCCTGACGACCGGACGCTCATGGGCCCTGGGGCGATGGCGGTTTCGCGTGAATTATGTGTGGAGGCCGAGGACAAGGGGGTCTGACCCCTAATTTTAACCTACAAAGTATATTTGTTGCTTGCATGCCTTGCCTTGACAACTTTCTTTCTATTACCCCACTCCCCCCCCTCCCCCTACCCCAGTTCTTGCATGTGGTTGTGCAGTGTTGTCCATGTGACTTGGGTACCTCTGCATTCAGGATGAGTAGTAGGCATAAGTTATTTTTCAGATTAACACTATGTGTTGCATGTACGCATGGGAAAAAAAGTACATGTATGCCGGAGAAAATCCCCTCTGTTCATTGATACCCGTCTCATGTACAGGTTGGCCCGACCCGCCACGGGTCACAAACGACCCGTGCATGTATAGACGGGAGGGGTCACTAGAATGGCCAGGTCGACCTGGGGCGGGTCGACCCGACCCGTACCCGTACCCGTCACGGGTCACCCTAAACGGGTACGGGTCGACCCGACCCGACCCGTTGCCCATGTCTAGTGCAACCTGCTTTCCTCCCTCATGTTTGTTTGCACACACCATTCATGCGAACTTCTGCCCTTCACCTGTACCTGCATGTAACAATCTCTCACCGTGGTGCTTCCTTCCTTCTCTAAGAATCTAACTATGGGTCTGCACAACCCCGCTACTGACACAACCTTATTTCACCTGTAGCAGCAGTTGCACTTTCTCTGGAGGCGAGAAAGATTGCAAGTCATTCTCCTTGAGTCGGTCGTGGCCATGGCCATGGTTTCTTTTTCCTCTTTTTTCTGCTCCCCCATTCCCTCACCCACCTCCTGCCCGCCTTTCCTCCAGCCTTCCCTAGCTCACAGCAGCCCTACGTGCTGTCGATATCAACACTACCCTTCCTGTTTCTTCCCCTCCTAAGGGCACCAAGAGGTGCATGCTTGGGGGATCACTATCAGGATTCGGTGCTGATGATTCTACAACTTAACCACCACGCTTCCCCCCTTCCTCCCTCTTCACCCTCCTGCCTCCCCTTCTCCCAAGTTCTCTGGCTCCTGCTAAGTTACCATTTATATTGTTGGGTTATTACCCATAACCACGCTCCCCTCCCCTCACCAAGGATGGCATGCTGCAAAAGCTGAATCACCATCAGCGCTGTCTTTTTCCTCCCATCCCCCCTCTCCCAGCATCTCCGACACCAAGGAGGGCATGCTGCAGAGACTGAATTGCGAGTGGAGGATGCTGCTAGGATGGTGCTTGTTTTTGTCTGCTGCTGCTGTGGGCCTCGTTGGCTTTGCTCTGTGGAGGTGCGTGCATGTTCGTGTGGGGGTGGTGATGGGTGTGGACGGGTGGATGGGGGGATGGCGGATAGGTGGATGGATGGATGAGAGGAGGGGTGGGGAGGTGGAGAGTGGGTCTTTGCAATGCGGAGTATGCTTGCATTTGCTTAGCTCTGCAGGAGGTTCGTTTAGTTAGCTTCTAGGGAGGTTTGCCAACTTTGTGCCCTCCCCTCCCCTCCTCTCCCCTCCCCTCCTCTCCCCTCCCCTCCTCTCCCCTCCCCTCCTTTCCCCTCACTCCCCTCCCCTCCCCTCCCCTCCCTTCCCCTGCCCTCCCCTCCTCTGCCCCCCTCCACTCTCCCTCCTCTCCTCTCCTCCCATCTCCTCTCCCCTCCCCTCCTCTCCTCTCCTCTCCCTCTCATCCATTTACTGAAGCCGTCTCTGCTAATTGCTTCCCACCCACCATCCCCTCTCCTTCCTTCGTGCTCTGCCAGGGCAAATCGTCGCCAGCAATCCAGGCAGCAGCAGCAGCGACAAGAGCAGGCAGAGCAAGCAGAGTTGGAAAGGAGGATGACAATGTTTTTGGAAGGGCAGCAGCAGACAGCAGCAGCAGGAGCAGAAGCACGATCAGGAAGAGGAGCAGAGGGAGCAAGGGCAGTTGCAGGAGCAGGAGAAGGTACAGAACAACAAAGGGTGAGGACCCAAGCGGGCATGAACCAGGCCTCACATGTCAGGGCGCTAGCAGCTCCGACCTTGGAGCTTGAAAGGAGCTTGGCACATATAAGTGGTGAAGGGGATGCGGACGAGGAGGTAGTGGGGGAGGAGGTGCAGAGTGGTGAGCGCTGTGTGGTGTGCCTGCATCGCAAGCGCAAGGCGGTCTTTGTACCGTGTGGCCACCGCGTCTGTTGTGTATCGTGTTCGAGGATGGTTAGGGTGGAACAGTTGCCATGTCCCATTTGCCGCGGGCAGATTCTGGCTGCCTTTCGTGTGTACGATGCTTGAAATTAGTACAGCATCCCAGCCACATGTGCTCAGGGTTCATTCCGCTCAAGACATGTCCGTTAAGAAAGTGTCGCAATCGATTGTGACGCGTACTTAGAGCATATGCTGCCATGTGTCGAGATTCCGGACCGCTCAACAAAATTGTCAAGTGTAATTTCGATTGGCTGACGTGAACCACGGAACCGTCGCCGGCTATTTGCACGCCATCGCAACAATAACCTGCCATCGCATGCGGTCCCAGATGTCAATCCCATCTGCATGTATCTGGACATTAGGACTGTTCGATTTCTCCCACCGAACGCGTACAACGAAGCGGGATTGGTCAATCAAGGCAAAAGCACAGAAAGCACCGAACAAGTTATAAACAGGATTTGGCAAACCCCAAAAGGCTAGAACCGAATAGAATAATGTGCCATGACCCAGCTTGAAAGGGTGCGGAAGAGATCAGGCTTACGGTATAAGGAGCTGTTGTTACCAGGCCGTCAGATTCGTTTTGAGCCACGCTTTTTTGTCAGTGTTGGTCCCTGGAAAAACACTTTCTATCAGTGTTGACAAAAAGAAAACCCTGAAAAATCAGTGTTGTAGAGGGAAAAAAAAACTTTCCCGTCAGTGTAGGTACAAAAATGTACCGTAATCCCCCGTATATAAGACCCTAGGGGGTATTATGATAATCACCCCTAAAAAGACTAGGGGGTATAATTATATGGTATACTTTTTAGAAGACCCGGATCTGTTCATCTTGACATTTTTAAGAATGTAGTTTTGGAGCTCAAAGAAGTGATTTGGAGTTGCTCCGTTTTTAGCTCCTCCCAAAAAAACTCGAATTGGTCTCCACACGGGCCGAACTTACAGCATCACAAACCCTATCTAGGAGCCTACTTCCTTTTGCCCACCAACACTACTTGGTGTTCACACGACAGCGCAGGGCACCGTTTGATGGCCTTAGCCTTCATACCCCATGCACGCTTCGTGCGGGCTGCACAGTCCTGGAACGGGCGGGATCTTTCAGACACCCCTACTGCATTCTGGCACGTCCTTGTTCATCTGGTTGACTTCACTTCCCCCTCCTGTTTCTTTCCCCGTACTGTGCTCGGCTGGCTGCCGCATAGAAGATGGCTGCCTGTTCCATTTCGCCTCGAAGCTAGCAGCCACGTTATTTCCACCTTAGCCACCATGGTGACCTCACCAGATACTGGGACGTCCGGTGATCGATGCAAGCGTCGCAAGAAGGTGCCGAACCCTCTTGTTCCTAGGCCGTCGCCCAGGCCCGTCATGCCCACGCCAAGTGCCTCTAGCAGCGAGGCGACAGATCAGGAGCCCTGCAGGAGCCCACGCAGTCCGCTTCCGCAGGTGAAGGTTCCCGTGTTTCCTGTATCAAGCCGACCGCGGGGACAGAAGAAGCGGGTGCGCGACGCAGAGACGCCGGAGACAAGGCGCCGACAAACGGAGAAGAAGCGGAAAGCTTACACCGTCAAGGAGAAGCTTTACTGGCTCAAGATGCTTGACGCGCAGCCCCCTATGAGCGTCCGGGGTTTGGCCAGGCTCGCCAAAGTCCAGCCAAAGCAGATCCGCGACTGGCGCAGCATGAAGGAGCGGCTCGACAAAGCGGCAGGGTGTTGCCAACGTCTCACTGGTGCGGGACGAAGTACCCCGATATGGAGGTTGCGGTCTACCGTAAGTTCTTGTTCCACCGTGGGAAAGGCCTGCCGATTTCCATAGGTCTGCTGCAGAGTTGGGCGGCGACCTACATGAAGCATCGCCACCCCCAGAAGAAGTGGTCTTGGTCCAGCCGCTGGACCAAGAGGTTCCGCAGGCGGTGGTCCCTGGAGCGGCGCGTGAAGACAAAGATCGGGCAGAAGCTCGCTGCAGGTACCTTGACCTCGCCCTACTCGATGTTTCCCGCAGTAAAGTCGTACCTATCCACCTGGCCTGACTCCCCCTTATCCCGTGCGATGCAGATTGCAAGGAGAAGTGCGAGGCCTTCTGGGAATTCGTGAGGCAGATGCACGTGCTCAACTCCTACCCCCTCAACCTGATCGTGAACGCGGATCAGACACCCCTGTGCCTTGAGATGCCTGCCGAGCGCACCCTCGAAATGAAAGGCGCTCGGACCGTGCACGTGCGCACCGCGGGGTACGAGAAGGAGCGTGTGACGGTCATGCTGGCGGTGACCGCGGACAGCTTGAAGCTCCCTCCGTTTGTAGTCTTCAAGCGGAAGACCTTGCCGAAGATCCCCATACCCCGTGGTGAGTTGTGACTTACCGAATGTTCTGCCGGGAGGTCGTGAAGGAAAACAACCCCTAACGTTTCTTTTTTGTTGTGCAAGAATTGTCGTGCGAGCCCAGGAAATGGGCTGGATGGACGAGAGCCTTGTCCAAGACTGGACAACGATGGTTCTCGTCCCCTTCCTGAAGCCTCACCGCGAAAAGGACGGGCAGCGCAAGGATGTGCTCCTCATCTTCGACTCCTACTGAGGGCACACCACGGAAGCAGTCGTCCAGACGATGAAGCTGTTCAAGCTCACGCGCGCGGTGATACCTGGCGGTTGCACCTCGCTGGTGCAACCCCTGGACGTGTCGGTGAATCGCAGCTTCAAAGCCGGGGTTCGCCACCGCTACTCCACGTGGTTCCAGGATGAGGGGATTGATTCTTTCACCCCTGCATGTGAGCATGAGAGTTGTCCCTGTTTCAATGTGTGCCTTGACCGTGTGGTGACTCACGTTTGCCCCTACCCGTGACATTTCCCGCAGGGAATTTGAAGAAACCTCCCCTAGAGAAGGTTCTCTGCTGGATTGCAGAGTCATG